ATGAAGAAGAAGGGCAGTACATTACATACAAGGGGAGGGAATGCAAGAAAACATGGTGCGATAACCAAAATGCCCACAAGATGGCAGTATGATAACCAGCTATATAATACCACAGAAAATGGCTTATGCAAAAGTAACTTAATTCTCCCTTCACATTAATATAAATATTAACTATGACTATGGATTGTGATATCTTACAAATGTGTAACAGCACAAGCATTTACCCCATGTATGTTCCATGTCCTATGTCCTGCATGCTGATCTTTTATTGCAGAGGCCAGCTATGGCAACCAGTAGACCATAGTTTGGGGTCCACTGATATAAAGTATCGCAGTACATATACAGTGGGGCAAAAAAGTATTTAGTCAGCCACCAATTGTGTAAGTTCTCCCACTTAAAAAGATGAGAGAGGCCTGTAATTGGCATCATAGGTAGACCTCAACTGTGAGAGACAAAATGAGAAAACAAATCCAGACAAATCACATTGGCTGATTTGGAACGAATTTATTTGCAAATTATGGTGGAAAATAAGTATTTGGTCAATATCAAAAGGTCATCTCAATACTTTGTTATATATCCTTTGTTGGCAATGACAGAGGTCAAACGTGTTCTGTACGTCTTCACAAGGTTGGCACACACTGTTGCAAACTAGCTATTGCACCCGCCCTCTACTGCTTCCAATCACCAGAAGAGGACCTGATAGAAAAATTCAGGTCCCCCTCTGCTGATTGACAGCAGCAGTGGGCGTGTGCATTAGCTAGTTTGCTATTGGCTATTGCAAAGTGCAATAGCCAATAGGAATCTAGCTGTGCATTCGTATGCCTTTTTCTTTTCTGACTGACGGTCGGGCCGCGGCTCCCGATGTCAGAAAAGAAAGAAAAAAACAATCGATCGAGCAGATAAACCTTTCCGGGAGGAAGTGTTTCTCTCCCGGGCGGCCGGGAGCCGCTATCTAATAGCGGGAGACTCCCGGAGCGTCTGGGAGAGTTGGGATGTCTGCAAGTCTATCAGTGATAGTGACTACATAACGTCCATTTCATATAATCGTGATTTGCAGTCCAATTATCATTTCCAAACGTGAGTCCGTCCTTATGTTCACCCAAGTGCTTCCCCAGTGATACAAAGACTGTATGCAGTGTCACAAAAACTTACAAAATTGTCTTCTCTGTGTCACCAATTCACTGGGATTTCATATATATATTCACCAGTACACATGTGACTTCAGTATGGGCATAGGTCAGTCAGTATACACATGGTAAGGATCCTGTTATGATTACCCCCAAATCCAATGGGGTTCCCCTCAGACAACAATGAATAAAAAAGCCTGCAGATTGCAAAGAAGCTATTGCTTCCTGTGCTATCTGCCATCATTTCAGGGAGGTGCTCTCTCCCAGCCCCCCCTAACCCTCCCTCCGCGGATTAGGGGGGGGGGACAGAGGGCACCTCCCTGAAATGAGAAGGACACCTCCCTGAAATTGCTTCTTTCAGGTTGGGATCCCTGGACTTGCAGCGGTGAAGGATATATATGTGACAAGAAATCATTCTATGCAGATAAATTCTTCATGGGGTGGATAGCTGGACTCATGTTAGGTTATGTCCTTTCTATGTTAATCTCTACTGCCTCCAATGGTATGAAAGGGCATTTCATGCCCCCTTCTCCTGATCTATAAAGTGGGTGTCTGGTGTCTGCTGCAGCACATGAAAGGATTGGACTTAATGGTTAGAACTTCTGTCTTGCAGCACTGGAGTCCTTGGTTTGAATCTGGCCAGGACACTGCCTGCATGGAGTTTGCATGTTCTCATTGTGCATTTTTGGATTTCTGCCCACGCTCCAAAGACATCCTGGTAGGTTAATTGGCTCCTATCTAAACTGGCCCTAGTATGCATGGTTATGTGAGAAAGGGACCTTAGAGTGTAAGTTTATTGAGGGCAGGGACTGAAGTGAATCTATAGTATGTAAAGAGCTATGTAAATTGTTGGCACCATATAAATATCTGTACAAATGGCCGGGCTTTGTGCTAACAGGACTCATGCACATCAATCACAGCACACAATGCAGTACGACATGCATGTGAGGCACAAGATTGAGTTATCTGAGAGTGGGCATCAAAATCCAGGAAATAAATGACCTTGATATCATGACGCTATTGGCATTTGGAAGAGGCTGCAAACTCAAGGTTCTCTGTGAACCTCTGCACCATTTTTCCAGAGTATACGGTGTATGTTGCAGAGGTATATGGAATGAGTAATGTATTCTCACACATATCGCTGTGCTAGGGCCAGAAACGTTTTTCATTTCCAGTCGAATACAGCAATAATCCACCACATTTCAGGGTTCCAAAGTGGTCCTGAAACATGGTGGAAGTTTTATATGGCCTCAAATCAACATCTGATCATTCCTTTATACACCTCTAGCCTTCTAAGATAGAAGCCAAACTTCAGCTCTTTGTTCTTTGGTGGGCCACCTGAAAGAAACCTTCTACATCCGATAAGATACCCTACCAAGGTCCACACACCTACCCCTTGTTCTAATCTTTGTCTAAAGGTGCATAAAGGAAATTAAAGTTTTCAGTCCAGAGAGGTCTATTTGTAGGCATATAAAAGAGAAATCCAACATGTCCCAAGGACCTTGAAACACGCCAGTTTTCTGTTTTTTATGATTTGAAATAAAAACCTAACATACCATTTTCTGTGCTTTGCTTCATATACCTCCAATCTTACTGAAATAAGAGCTGAACCCTGTTCTCTGAATAGCCCTCTGAAACAAACCCTCCACATCAGGCCAGACACACTACAAAGGCCCTTAACATTATTAGAGATCCAACGTTCCACACGCCTTTGTTCTAATCCAAAGGTAGCCAAACTCCGGCCCTCTAGCTGGGGTGAAACTACAATTCCCATGATGCATCTCTCTCAGAGAGTCATGTCTGTGGCTGTGAGAATCTTGCAATGCCTCATGAGATTTGTAGTTCCACCACAGCTGGAGGGCCGGAGTTTGGCTACCCCTGTTCTAATCTGTGACTCTTCACGCCACACATGCCCAATACTATTCTGGAACAAAAGTAAAGTTCCCTTGCCGCATTTCTTACCGGAAACCCCAATTCAACGCGGGTGGGTGCTTGTAATGACCGCGGATGGTGCCGCCAGATAATGTCAGTAGATGGATGTCACCAGCAAACCAAAACTATTGTTATCCAAAGTACTTGTTTATTCAAAACGTCATGTCATCAGAACTAGCGCTTTCGGGGCCACGCAGGGTCCCCTTCATCAGGCTCAGCAATGTTCTAATCTGTGACTCTTCACACCACACGTGTTCTGTTCTGGGACTTACCAGCTGACCGCATAGAGGAGGAAAAGGGGTGACTCTGTGACAACGTATGGGTCAAAGGTTGCAAAGGTAACACCACTCAAGACATGTAATTGCGTCTCACAAATTGATCATGAAGAACAGCGCCACAGACCTATATACAGACGTTGTGGGACCTCGCAGGGTCCATTACTCAAGGTAACATAGACAACGTCTGACACTATCACTTCGAGTACCCTATTATTTGAAGTTCTAGAAGTGTCAGGGGTGCAGCTGCATATATGAACAGAATCGAGATAACGTATGGGAACATTCTAAAGTGTCCCCTCTTTAAACATATTCAGTAATAGAGGTATAGATATAACTTTATATATGAGGCAACATGTTTGAAAAAGATGCAGCAATTTGTTGAAGAAGAGGTAGGAACTTAAATAATATAAGTTAAACCTAAAGGCTGGATTTTTTTTTCCTGAACACCTTTCTGAGGAAACCATTTGCAACAGTGAAACGCGTTAAGGCAAAACGTGTTTGAGCCTGAGAAAGTAGGATGCCCCTCTTTTGATACCTGGTGTACTATGACATTTGGCTGCCACTGTTTTAATTGAGGAGGTGGGAGACTATTGCTTCCAACAATTTGACTCCTATATAATTTATGTGGTGACATTTAACCTGGAGAAATGGCACAAATGTGACCATAACAGTGACCGCCATGAATGCTAATACAAACCTGTTCTTCTGTCTTGAATATGACCACTGAACACGAGTTTGTTTATAGCAAGTCGCATTTATTTGTCATCGGTGTCCAATGAATTTTTGTGCAAGCAGGAAGCTGACAAACTGGCGCGCTTTGTGTGTGTGTGTTATAGTAGCCTTGTTCACATTGTGACAGGTTTGGATGCAGACAAGCGTGGAGCGTGGCCCTGCAGATCTGGATTGTGCAGCGTGTGGCTTGTCCAGCCTAAGGGTGGCCATACATTGTACGATTTACATTTGAAATTTATCGTTTCTGGCACGAACCCTCGTTCAATTATACCTAGACTTCCCCATCAAGCATAGTCACATGTCCATTTCGGAAATTGTTTGTTAGCCATACTAACCAACCAATTTTTGACGAACGACGTAAATAATTTCCTCTTGCGCATGTGCTGTGTTCTTGCTGAGATTTTTGACGAACGAAAACCTCACTAATTCATCAATTTTTTGTTTGTTCAGAGAAAAAATTTCCAACCTGTCTGGTCAAAAATTTTCGATCTCAATGTCAAAAACTAAAATCGGTGATGTAACATCAACGGTTTGATTTTCGTTCGAAAAACCGTTCGTGTACGATTTCCAAACGAAAATCAGTGTATGGTCACTTTATCATGTGTGTGCAAATGTAAGAAATTGCTCTGGGCAGCAGGTGGTTAAACTATTCAAAAGAAGCCAAAAACCACACCACTAAAATACTCCACAGAAGAAAATTAACCCCTTATCCCCCTTGAACGGTTCCTCTGGCCCAGAACGTTTGTAGTCTTTCTGTTTATGAAGTTTTTGTTAAACTTCTGCATCACAAGAGGCTGCGGGTCCTTTTAAACACGCTCTGCAGTTTCCTGCGAGGAGGAACTCTTTAGAGTATTCGTTGTTTCTCCCGGAAGTGCTGTATATGTCGGCGCACAGGTCATTTAGACTCGCTGTGTGGGAAGGAATAAAGGTCCGGACTGGCGTTTAGTTATGGTGAGTTATGGTACACTTTACAGACAGGATACCGCCCGTTATCAGAGGCTCCCCGCTGTCCTGTACACAGATTGGAGAGATGAGCGGCCTCTGTACGAGCTCTGCTTTATTGTAGGACTACGAGTCCCAGAATGCATTGCGACTCCAGACTTCCTTTACTGAGCCTGCTGTGTATGGAGGAGGGGGGGGGATCAGTATTGTGCATTTCTTCTTGCAAGTGAATGTAAACCTTATATGGGTCACATTTAGTTTGCTAAAGTAAAATAGGGGGGAATTTATCAAGCAGACAGAATCTGGAGCAGTTGCCTATAGTAACCAGTTTCTGTCTTCAGTTTGTTGAAAATGAATAATAGGAGCTGATTGGTTGCTATGGGCAACTGCTGCTGCAGATTCTGTCTGCTCCAGCTTTCATAAATTCCCCCCAATGCATAGTGAACAGATGCCCTGTGTTATTCTTAATAAAATACTTATTTTCACATTTTATTTATTTTCATCCTGGTGCTGTTGATCCCCTGTGACCACTTTCTGTCTGCATGTGTTTCAGTGGCTGCACATCATTGCTAAGGGCAGCTTTCCTGATGGTGACAACGGCAGAACATGCTTGTGCAGTTGTCAGCACAGCCACCTATAGTCTCCGGTGGAAATGCATGTGACAGTGTGACAACTCAGGAGCACAATTGCAGGACCACAGGGATAGAGTGTTGTCACCCTGTAACAGGAAGTGCCTGAACAAGGACCTTCATGGCAGGATTCTCGGGTATTATTTTAACAAAAGCTGCATATTTAAAACGATTTAATAATTACTTTAAAAATTATATGAACTTGATGGCGTGGCTTGCTAATGGCCAGGAGCGGACGCATCTTCTGAGAGCTCTGACGCTGCACTCAGGATTATACCAGGGGCATCCATTATCTGCTACCGTCTGACTCACACATGGGCCGAAGTGGAAGGAAAGGGGCTCAGACCCCCAACCAACCATCTATACCGGCGGGGGACGCGGGATAAGGTAACTTTTTCCCTCATTTAAAGGAGAACTATGAGGTGAGTGCTTCTCACTCACCTCATAGTTCTAGCCGACCCGTGACAATGAGACTGTCACAGGTCGGCTCAGTAGATCGGGAGGTGAGCGAACACATATCGGCGCTCGCTCACCTCTCGATCCTGTCGCAGCTCTCTGCCGTGACAGGAACTGGATTCCCCCCGCCGGTTACGATACTCCAGCACTGACTGGCGGAACGGACGGGGGAGGGGGTGGGTACAGCTGACTCTGCCTCTAGATAGGCAGAGCCAGCTGTCACTCACGCAGCTGGGCGGATCCAGACATAATTGTCGGGATCCGTTTCAGCGGTAGCTCGCGGTATACTGAGCCTAGGGTGACGGGGGGACGCTAGTTTGTGTCCTCCCGTTACCCTTCGGAGAACTATGGGTGAAAAGCCTTAACCCCATAGTTCTCCTTTATGCTCGCGCTCAGCAGATCTATGTGTGGCCAAGATGGCACCCGAGCATGCTGATCCAGAGGCCTCTCCATCCTCACCACCAGTGGCGCGAGCCAACTCAGACGCATCACTGGCTGATAGAGACTCACCTAACACATCGAGAGAGGAGGAGGATCCGGCCTTTCATGGCTTTCTTGCCCTTCTATCTACCCAGGGCGACATCAGACACTTATTGCCCAACTGGAAGCATCTGACAAATGGGACATGATGGACATCTGTGAGGGACTAGAGTCCATGCTTCACCACCTGGAGGAGATGGAATCCACTTCCTCCTCACTGAATATTTTAAAGAAGATTTCTAGAAATGATAAAAACCTACCTTGCCGTGGGGCTCCCCCTGCACTGCAATGGTTAACTGTTCATTTTGTCTAAGGAGTTCAAATAAAGCAGATATACTCACCTGATCCTCAGTCCTTCTGGGCTTCTAGACTGGTCCCTACAGCCTCTTCCCCCGTGAACTCTTGACAGTCTAAGGACCACTGACATCATTGCATCTAGTGCAGGTCCATTGACTTGTATTGGATGTTAGGACACTGAGGGACATTTAAAAGCCGGAGTGGATGGGACTGAGGATCAGGTGAGCAAAACGGCTTTATTTTACTCCCCTAGACAAAGCCAGCACTTAACCTTTGCAGTGTGGGGGTAGCCCCACTGCAAGGGTATGTTTGTAATGTTCCTGGAGTTGTTCTTTATTGGTATTCATAGGTAAACTTTGAATAGTTTCTAAAAGTTTTCACAACTGCATTTCAGGACGGCCCTGGTTTGACTTTGAAAGTACACAGAAATCCCCATATTACATGCAGGCTGCTGTATTAGGTCCTCATTGGCTGGGAATGGTCAGCTGTCCTGCACAACAAAGGATAGCAGAAATCTGTATAGATGACTTATTGCTCCAATGTGTGTCCACTGGGGAATCGCAGCCCAACCCGGTCCTTGTACTTCCATTTCCCTGCTGCTCGGTTTGGCTGCTGGGAGAAAATGAATAAAGGTGGCCATACACTTTACAAACATCGCAAGACCTTAGTCTTGCGATGGTTGTAAAGTAATTAAAAAAACGTACGATCTGCCTATCTTGGACAGGCAGATCGCACTCTCGATCATCGCAAGCCCGCCCTCCTGAGGGGCGGGCTTCTGATGACCGCAATGCTGAACGGGCAGTGTGCGCGTGCGCACACCGGCCCGTTCGGCATTTGTCTTCCGAGCACCGTTCTAACCAGCCGAAAATCGTACAATTCCCGGCGGGTTTTCTAGCGTGCTCCTTAGACAAAAGACGTGCGACCGTACAGTAGAAACGGTCACACGTCTTCGTTCACACTGCTCGATTCTCGTACGGTCGCAGGATTTCCCGCAATTCTCGTACGAGAATCGAGCAGTGTATGGGCACCTTCATACCTGGTACTTCCAGGCAGGGAGTAAAGCTGGCCATTCACTGCTCAAAATTTGGACAAGTCCTGCTGACTCAGCTAAAATACCAGCTGCCCCTACGGGACCCCTGCATCCCACACAAGTCAAGTTTTCAATCCGAAGGAGCCGAGCCAAAAGTTGTCAGCTGATCAGTGACTGCAGATCATGTATTCTGAGAGCGGAAGGTGGCGGCTGTCAGACTACGACAGCATGGCGGGACTATTGAGCATTTCTCCTCATATGGTAAATGTGAGAACAATAAGTTGTGGAGGTTTCATCGGAGCGGCCCCTACATGGGTGGCCATTTCTGTCCCTGCAATTGATAAAGAACCTGCCTGTCTGTGGCACGGCATACTACAATAGGATTGTGTGCTTTTATATATACAGAGTAGTCCTTGTGTTGGATTCTTGGTTTCGATTTTCTGTGTTTGAAATGTGATGTACGATGGGCCTCTGATGCTGTGCTTTTTTTTTAGGTGTCGTTATGTCTCAGAAACCGGCTTTTTTTAAGTTGGCCCAGTCTATGCTGGAGACACATGTCCAGAGTTCCGGCTGCCAGACAAGAGCTCTTGGATCTGGGCTTCTCGGAAACACAAGCTGAAAGGATTCTGTCTATGAAATGCAATGCACACAGCACTTCCACCATCAAGGAGCTGTGTGTGGTAGGACTGAACCACAAAACCATATTGAGAATTCTGGAAGAGAAGCCAGAGCTTCTGAGGACCACAGGCAAGGAAGTAAAGGGCAAGGCTGACACTCTGAGGAGCCTGGGACTTGGAGAAGGTAACCTCTTCTTCTTCTTCTTCTTTTTTCTTTTTTTTGTTCATTAACCCTTTCGCTGCCAAGCCCTCCGGAACATTTTTCAAATCAGCTGGCCAAGCCATTTTTGAATTTTCTGCAATTTTTTCCTATTGATTTGATTTTCCACTGCTGCGTTGCTAGCGTTTGTAAAAGACCCCCCCAAACCATATATTTTCTGAAAGCGCAGGCCCGGTAGAATAAAAAGCTGGTGATACTAAATTTGTAGGCCGTGCGATAATTGCGCAAATGTTTCTCAAATTAATATTAAACCGATAAAAATACACAATTCAATTGATAAAACACACTAAAATCAGTATCAGCGCACAAAAAAAAATAATTTTCTGACTAAATCTAAAAGATAAAACTGTATTGAGTTAATAAATAACAAATATTTGCAAATTTGAAATTGCGCCTTTTTGCGAAAAGGTAAAAAAATGAAGGTATGCAAAACTGTAAATAATCGACTTATGTAAAAAATTGTTTTGGTGTTTGTGTTGTGATAAAATGATACAGGTGTATATTTAATTGCAACACAAGGTATCACAACGCATGGCAATGAGTCACAAAGCTTTGCCATGCGCTGCCACAGTTAATTTAATGTTTTTTTTAAAAGAAAAAAAATAAATAAAAAAGATCATGCACTGCGATGCGTTCTAACAACGCACTGCAGCGCATGTGCATGGTGTGCACCACAATATGTGTGTGTTATGTGGGGGGAGGGAGGGGTTGTGCTTTTTTTTTATTAGTTTGTTTTTTTTTACACATTTTTAAAATAATTTTATTTTGTTTTTAAAAAATTTTTTAAATTTTTTTTAAACATTTTTGATTTATTTTTTAATAATTTTGTATTTACTTTTTTTACTTTGGAGAAAAGTTTTAACACTTTTGATAGATATTTTGTTTCTTTGATATCAAGATATTTATTTTTTCTTGAATCAAGATTTCATTGCTATACTGCTGACCTCTGCTCTGTATGCCGTTGTCTGGTTCAGTTAATCCTTGGCTCCGCCTTGGAGGCTGTATACGGACTCCGTGCAACTAAAGGTTGCGGGGCCTGCTTGTAATGTGACCTATATGTTAGTTATGAGGCATGTGCATGGTCGAAGTTCGTCTGTAAGATATTTTAGGGATGTATACTGATGTGATGATAGTAACACACTTCAGGCTTAGGCCCCTTTCACATCAGGCTGATCAGGAGGGGACAGTGCACAGATCCCCTCCTGATATGAGCGGTACGGATTGGATGTCACCGCTGGGACATCTGTGTCCGTCCAGTTTCTTCCTGCCATTGACATCTGCTCCAGTTTTGATAAGTGCCCCCCATTGTCCTTTAACCCTTTTGCTGCCAACAATGTCACTGGCAGCGGGCCCCTGTAAACAGACTCCTGGCGGCTATAGCAATTAAAGGTCCTCATTCTTTGATCTGTGATTGGCTGATACAGATAAGCGCTTGTTTACACTCAGTGTAATTAGAAACGCATTCAGCATAGCAAGTGATTTAGCACATGTTGCCGTGCATTTTCTGATGTGCTCCAGAAGCTCTGATGTGAATGGGACACTGAAAGCCACTGGACCCAAAAGTATAACGTGCAGTATATTTCTAAAGCACACCCTGGTGAAAACGGCCTGCCGACATAACTGGGTTTTTAAAATGAACCCAAAAATGACATCTGGTGATAATGAAGCCTTGTCCCACTTTGCATATCAGAATTCCTGATTGCCCTTTGCGTGCATTAGTAGGTGAATATGTTATAGCAGTGAAATGAGAAAATGTCTCTCCAGATTAAATATCCTGGTGTAGATTCCTGACGAGCGAGTCTTCTCCATTATTGTACACATAACAGCTTCCTTCCTCCTCTCTCAATATACAGGTTCTCTTCAGAACTCGCTGTCCATGTGCCCCACTTTACTCTCCATGCCTCGCTCCCGCCTAGTAGCCTCAGCACAATGTCTTAAGACTCGATGTCAGTTCTCATCTCAACAGGTCCTGAAAATCCTTACCACCACTCCAGAAGCCCTAACCAAAGACCCCAACCACCTCGAGGAGCTGTTCCAGGTGAGTGTGACCTTGGAGACTACATGGCCAAAACGTCAGTGGACACCTGACCCTCACACCTACCTTTTTGGCCAAAAGTGTGTGAACACCCCTGCAAATGTCTGAAGGTTCTCATGGTATATCTGTAAAAAATACAGCAAGTCCAGTTGCCTTGTCTTCTTTTTTACAGATACCCCTGCAAATGAGTGAGTTCAGGTGTTTCCAGTCCCGAGACCGGCTAATGTTCCAGCATACAAAGACATTTTAGACAATTGTGTGCTTCCATCCTAGTGGCAACAGTTTGGGGAAGGCCATTTTCTTTTCCAGTATGATTGTGCCCCTGTCACAAAGCCAGCTTTTAGATTGTAAGCCCTCCTTACCATCTTGTCTTGAATTGTATTGTAAAGTGCTGCACAAACTGTTGGCGATATATAACTCCTGTATAATAATAATATAGGCCCTTATCCTTGACTGTCACTCCCCTCATTTTGCAGTATGCATATTTTCGGATGGGTGGAACACATGGAGACATCCCTTCTTCTGGAATTTTCCAAAGATCACTATTTGAGATTAAAGTTCGGCATCAGTTTCTGGAGCGTCTGGGTCGGTTCCTACCGCCTAACAAAAATGGCCAGTGTCCTCCCTCCAACCCAAAACTAAAGGAGGTTGTACTGTTATCTGAGGAGGACTTCTTGGCACGAGTTGCTTGCTCTTCAACTGAAGAGTTCCACATTTTCCAGAAGATTCTAGAGCGTGAGGAAAGGGAAAGTGCAGAGGGAATGGAAGAGGACCAAGATAATCTAAGTACTGATGAAGAAGATGAAGATGACTCGGATGATGAGAATTATACAGATAGTATTCAGGGTCATCAATCAAAGCACAAAAAATATAAGAATAAATAGATTTTTTTTTTTATGGCAATCACTTTTCATTCTCGTGCTGTGGGGCTTCCTTATTAGGACCAATGACAATTTAAAGAGAACCTGTCATGAGCGCACTGGCCCAGAGCATGTATAGAGATGAGGAAGCCTGACTCTTATTCGTACCAAACTTGTTCCAGAAATGCTAATGTTAGACGAAGCCAGATAAGTAGTGTTTTTCGGAGGCGGCCAACAAAGACAGCCCCGTATGTATCACATCACAGGTGTACTTTAAAGTAAAAATTCATATATTACCATATTTTACTAATTCAACCTCCTTTACTTTACACCACGTACACCTCTAAGCAGATGTCAGCCCTCCAGCTGTAGTGGAACTACAAATCCCATCTGGGAGTCGTGTCCGTCAGAGTCTTGCAATGTGTTATGGGAAAGGCAGTTCCTCAACAGCTGGCAGGCCGAAGTTTGGCTACCCTTGCTTTACATATTATTCTTCTGTCATATTCTGGTCATGTACTATTTATTTTTTCTGGATCATTCCAGATACATGCTTGTCTACGTCAAACTTTCTGCAGCCCGGAAAGTGAGTTTAATGGAAAGGGCTTCGTATTTCATAATACTCTACGTTCTTCCATGGAAATGCCAGTACTGTGTGCACTGGGCCTTGTTGTCATTTCAACCTCCCAAATCTTTGTGTGAGGTGACATTATAAATGGTTATTTTAGTTGTCAAGAGTGAATGCAGGGCTGCCACTTGAGTACCATTTACTTAAAGGAGAATTCTGGGGAGTGAAATACACTCATCCCCATAGTTAGAGCCAAAGGGGTGACACTGCAGCTGTCACATGCCGGCTCTATAAATGGAGAACTGAGCGATCACATCCTGGTGAGCAATCAGTTCATGATTTTCTCCCTGCAGACAGTTATCTCTCCCTCCAGGGATTCCCCCTCTCTGTTCCTTCAGCGCTCATTGGAGGGATAGACAGGGAAAGGGGTGGGCCCAGCTGCCTCTGGCTCTAGAGAGGTAGACCCAGCTGTCAATCAGGTAGTGGGGTGGATCCCAACAATATTGTGGGGATCTCACCCAGCTGCAGTGCAGATGTTCACTGTCAGCATATAGCAGACAATAGCCCACTATTTGCTGCGTTTGGGGTCACCTGAGGAGATTAGTAAATGTCCTCCTGTGACCCAAAAGGTTTAGCCATAGTTGTCTTTTAAATAATAATTGTGTGCTAATGTTTTCACTGGTCCTGTTACACTGAAATACATAGATGCTGAAAGGACTTTTGAGTTTACTATTAGCTACCACAAAGCATGAGGAATGCCATAGTACAATGCCCGCAGTGTCTTGGTCACCAGAATGGGCTGTATACAGGTAGAGACCAATGAAGGGTTCTGTGACACGTCACTTTGTGTCAGAGCGAGCCTTCTGTAGTAGAGCTGAATGCTGCGCCGTCTCACAAAGCATGAGGAATGCCATAGTACAATGCCCGCAGTGTCTTGGTCACCAGAATGGGCTGTATACAGGTAGAGACCAATGAAGGGTTCTGTGACACGTCACTTTGTGTCAGAGCGAGCCTTCTGTAGTAGAGCTGAATGCTGCGCCGTCATACACTGAGTGGCAGATTATTATGACCACCCCATCAGTACTTCGTTGGGCCACGAGATGACTTCATTGGGCCGCCTCATGACTCCACGAGATGCTGAAAGGTGATGCGAGGAATCTGACACTGCACTGTTGCCCTTCTGTTGTCTACGTTCTGCCCTAACATTGACTAGTCGCTGACGGCCACAATTCGCACGTTCAGACCCAGATTTTCGGCTGACAGTCCAGTCTTTAAACACTTTAACAATGAGCCCCTCTTGAACATTTAGCAAATTCTGCTGTTTTGCTGATACTCCATGAATTGCGCTAACAATCATCCCACGTTCAAAGGCTGTTAAATCGCGTTGTTTACCCGTATCTTCAGAAAAAATCACTTCTACTGTCGTGGTAAACAACCTGCTTCCCTATTTATAATGGTCTGGCCCTCTAGCAACTTCAGCGCGAAATTATTGCTAATTTGCCTACTTCCGGTACCCAGCCGGAGCTGTGTGGCCGGCCAATCAGGAAGCCGGGCGCTGTGTAAAGACGCGACGCCCTGCTTTCTGATTGGCCGGGAAGCTGGCTTCATGCTCCCTCGTCAAGAGATGACGAAGGCCGCGTTCTCGCTCGAGAGGCCCCGGGGTTGACAGGCTGCACATACTAAGGTAAGAGGGGACTTTCTTGGTAATTGGGAAGCCGGGTGGCGAGTCTTTACATGCTGCCCGGCTTCCCGGGTCATCAGGAAGCCAGGTGGCGAGTCATTACACGTCACCTGGCTTCCTGAATGGGACTTCCGCTACTCGGTAATTGGTATCGGCGAGGACCGAAAAAAAATAATCTGTACTCGTACTCGGTACCAAAATACCGGTATCGGTGCATCCCTAATTTTCAGCCATGATGATGCTCCGGCATCCCCTCTAGCTGGAGTTGTGTAATTTCCGGCAGAAGTGTGCAGACGCATGGGGATGATGACATAAGAAACCACCATATTGAGGGACCTGTGGACCGGAGTGAGGGACATCAGACACACCCTGGGGAGGTCCTAATATGCCCCACCTGTTGTGGGAAGGGAAATAACTGGGGTGGGAGGTATAAGGTGTTCTCCCCTTTCCAGTATTCTTTAGGGGAAGCTGGTATGTGGGAGCGCCTTCAAGAATGGCACAATTCTGGATGTGGTAACGACATCTACACTGAGTGGCCAGATTATTATGACCACTCCATCAGTACTTCGTTGGGCCACGAGATGACTCCACGAGATGACTTCGTTGGGCCGCCTCTTGACTCCATGAGATGTTGAAAGGGGATTTGAAAGGTGATGCGAGGAATCTGACACTGCACTGTTGCCCTTCTGTTCTCTCCGTTCTGCCCTAACATTGACTAGTCGCTGACGGCCACAATTCGCACGTTCAGACCCAGATTTTCGGCTGACAGTCCAGTCTTTAAACACTTTAACAATGAGCCCCTCTTGAACATTTAGCAAATTCTGCTGTTTTGCTGATACTCCATGAATTGCGCTAACAATCATCCCACGTTCAAAGGCTGTTAAATCGCGTTGTTTACCCGTATCTTCAGAAAAAATCACTTCTACTGTCGTGGTAAACAACCTGCTTCCCTATTTATAATGGTCTGGCCCTCTAGCAACTTCAGCGCGGAATTATTGCTAATTTGCCTACAAACGTCAGGTGGTCATAATAATCTGGCCACTCAGTGTACACAATAGTAAATCTAACAAATTAGAACAAAGGAGTGTTGTCAGTTACACACAGTAGACATATGTCATGTGTGCACTTTGACAGCTGCCATTAGGTTAAATGACATACAATATTATATTTTCTAGCCATGTAGTACATCTTTACCCCATGAAACTCATCGACTGACCATTTATAAAATAATAAAATACAAACGTCTTTTATAAAATGTTTTATTATAAAACCCAAAGCGCCTAGCCTGAAGGCGAAACTTAACACGCCGTTACAGCCCAATCATCTTTGGCGCAGCTTGGGATTTTGTCATCACCTCACCTGGAGGTTCCACCCCACTGGCTGCTGTAAAGTATAACATTGTCTGCACCACACTTGGTGCTGCGACTCTGTGCAATGTGGTGTTGTCCTTGGATTCAGAAGCCGAGGGCGAGTCTTGCTTTCCTTACTCAAATGACGCAATCCCACATACACAAAGGGCTTTCGAGTCTCTATACAAACTATAATGGTTTCAGAGGTTGCAAAATGAATTTCTTGATATGTGTTGTCGATTTTTTTTTTTTCTTTTCTTCATGTTTCCTATCCGTTCCTAAGCTACAAAAACAGATGAGCAGTTTCACTACTTCAGGCTCTACGGGGAGATGTGAAGACAAAGTAGAGCGGCAGAAATATGAATTTGTGGTCTCATATTCAGCCACTTTCCCAGTTCAGATAAACAGCACCAGATTGCCGGTCTCTGTATAGTCAAGGCTAGAAGGAACCTTGTGCTACATACTGAGACATGGTGCCAGCTCTATTCTGATCTCCGGAGAGTCATTTTCTGGTATCTGCTGATTGTGTGATGAGCTCCTGATGGTGAACTGTGAATGCTCTGAATGATTCCTTCCAGATGGGTAGCAGAGTCAGCAATCCTGTACTCTGCCTGTCTGACAGAGGAAACAGAACAGTTGCCTCCAGGCTTGTAGTCCAAAGGAAATGATGGTCTTTCAGACCTTTGGCTGAAGAGAGAAAGGATTCCCACCCACTCATGGAAAGGTATCTCTCCAGGTCACTGGGGGCATGGTCTCAGGGCCAGTGCTAGCTGTGCCTTGCACATTGCCAGAAGTTGGGTAGGGGGGAGAAACAAGCTCAGCAGTGTCTCCCATGGGGACGTGTGACATTTAAATCCTTCCCCACGTGGCAGCAAATGCTTCTTTGTCTGTAAAGGAATGGAATCTTGTTATTGAAGGAGTTCAAAGCACACACCAGTCAGTGTTGTAGAGTTATAACATGCTATAAAGAACTAGCAAACAAAACAAAAATGACTTTATAAAAATAAATGAAAAGTGTTTCCAAATATATTTAGTAGCAGGAGTGTGTTCGATCACGTGTTATCTGACTTCCTGTTTAGTAAACCTACATAGCTGTCATCCAGGGGGCTTATTATCAGTGAACATTTGTGGTTCCAGGTTCTGCCATTTGTTCCAAGTCATGTGATCATTGTGTTAGTAAGACTGAATGCTCAAAGTGCTAAAACTAGATTAAAATGAAACATGTCTGTGTATAGAATTCTAGTTCATGTAAAAGTAAAATGAAGCTGGAGCATTTCTAAAACTAAACTAACCTTCTCCTCTTCTATTATTTCAAATGACAGTTTGTAGCATGGAAATAATTAGATCATTTTTACAAACCATGTACTGCACACAGGGGCATCAGCCAGCCTGTCTCCTCTATTTTGTGTGAGGTACTGTCCCATGCACTACCGGGGCCCACATCTGCTGGTGCCTGTAATCACACTATAGAGGGGGCCCAGCTCCTCAGACATTCTAGTTGGTTATGAAGCTACTTGTGATCAAACGCTCTTTGTTGTCCTGTCTTCTCCTCATACTGTGTTTCTTAGAATTACTAATCAGACCCAACATTATTGGGGCATGTAGGAAGCAAATCCCATTACTGTTCAGTCACATCATATTACAACCCCCCCCCCTGCTGTTCTCCTGCAGCTGGACATTATAAAGAACTGTAACATCTGTAAGAAGATATAAAATCAGCACCAAAGGATATGTAGGCTGCATGGTGACAACTTTTACTCCTCATAACAAGCACCACTCCTACTGCGTCTCTCCTACTTCGTCTCATAAGGTCTGCAGAGTTATAACAGGTCAGCATTTATTTAGATAAGGAAGATGTATTTCTTTAACCCAAACTCAGCATATAGCCGGCTACTGCCCACTATTTGCTGACAGCGCAGAGCCGTGTTGCAGCCAGGAAAGATCATGACAATATTGGTGGAATCCATCCAACACTAAAGCCAGAGCCAGCTGTGCCCGTCCACTCCCCTGTCTGTCGCTCCAATGAGCACTGGAGGAACAGAGAGGGGCAGGGGGAATTCCTGCGGTGTCTGACTGACAGTCACCCCTCTCTGCATGGAGAAGACCGTGAGCTAAGTTATCAGTGGTTTGTGATCGCTCAGCTCTCGATCTATAGAGCCGGCATGTGACAGCTGCAGTGTACCACGACGGCTCAAGGTATTAGGAAAAGTACATTTTACTCTCCCAATACTTCTCCTTTAAGGGCTTATTCACACCATAACCATTGAGCTGTTTTTTTATCTACATACCACCACACAAGTATGGTGTTAACGGGGAACACAAAAAACTTCTCTGCACTGTTTACATCATACATGTGCATTAGTGTCCAGCTCAGTGGAAATGGTCGGAACAAGACCTAAGAATGGTGGCATGCTTATCCTGTTCTACTACTGCAGAGATACTGTGTGAAGGAAATGGGTGGCAGATCCACTGGAAGAACAAGGTAAGTAAACCCGCTTCCTTCTCGCCATCCGCACACTCACCCCCCAGTGCTTCACCTACACACTTGATGTGTGAACTGAGGGCTTATTGGAGCTGTAGTCCTGCAGGGCATGCCAATGTCAATAGGATGTGTTGTGGCCCTTCTTACAAACTCTTTTGTCACCACTGGAGGAATATATCCATGAAAGTGGGTGATGATATCAATTGTCTTTTAAAGAAAATCGTCTCCCTACAAAGGCCCAGGTAAGTTAAATAACAAACACAAAATGGGGGATTCACTAAAAGGTGGGAGGTGGTTTAATGGAACATAAAGACTTGCCCAGAGATGTGCTTTAAAATAGAACTATGGCTAAACCTTTTTTTGCTTTAGTTTTCTTTTGGGTCACAGGATGATGTTTACTAATGTCCTCCTGTGGCCCAAAACTCAGTCTATATTGGGCTACTGGCAGCGCTGCAGTCAGGAAAGATCCCCACAATATTGTTGGGATCCACCCCCCCTGTCTGATTGACAGAGTCACCGCTCTATGCAGGGAGAAGCCATGAGCTGAGTGATCAGCAGTTTGTGATCGGTCAGTTCTCGATCTGTAGAGCCGGAGTGTGACAGCTGCAGTGTCTAAATATGGGGATGAGTACATTTTACACTCCCCATGGTTCTCCTTTAAATGTAAACACTGAAGGCAATAAAAGCAAATCAGATTCCAGCTTTTAACAGCGTTTGTTCTTGCCAGGATCAATACAATAATTCAGTGTTTGGAACATGAATGTCATGCAAACATTTAAAAGTCCAAGCTACTTACTGTTCCTCATCTTCAAGGCTTACCGGGGACTTTGGTCTCTGTGAAGAAATACAAATATCAGTCAGAGTTGGTATCTACTGTTATAATTAAATTATGAATTCAAATTATAATGGGAGTAACATCTGATATTTGTGCTGCATGGCTATACAAAGCTAAAGTCTGCTAGAAACAAGCTTAATACTAGTCCTAAATGACTGTGACCTTGAATTTCCTATATTATAAATTGAGGATTTATTATTCCAAAGATGTGCAAAAGATTCAGAGGCGGCCTCCTGTATGTAGTTACATCCAGATGTGTCTTACCTTCCTGCATGACACACTTTCAGAATAAATCATAATAAGTCATTACATCTTATACCATAACATTGTTTTCCAGATGTATTATTTTTACAGGTGAGACAGAATTCTAAGTGATACCACTGCCCCTCATTAAAATGTATTTCCGGCATATTTTCCTATATTAATATCACTTAATGTATATTGAATACTCATATACAAGGACATAAAGAAATGCTTATGAGCCACATAAAGTAAAATGCACTGAATTGTAGCTGCTGGTGATAAGCTTATCAGACCTTTCTACTCACTTGGTCTACTTCTGGCAGCTCCTTCACAGATCTCTCTGGAGCACACATCATACTGTATCTTGTACACCCGCCTGTACCTGCAAAACATGCCACTTGAAGAAAAAAAAAGAGAAGACATGACTATTCTAAATTGTCCATTAACTGAAGAGGGGACGGGGATATGCCCTCAACCTCCTCTGTAGCAATTAGCACTGAATGTTAGAAAGGTAAAAGAATGATGAAGGAGTATGTCTGGTACCGTGGATAGTTTATACCAGCCGTCCGATTGATGTGCCTCCCCTGGGCCCTCTGCACACTGTACTTTGTACTTTGTTGATTACCTGAGCGGTTGTGAAAGATGGATTCAGCAAAATTGACTATTTTATGGAACATGAAGATGGCTACAGTGTGGTTTGGTGCCTGTATTAACTTGTTGGCTACTTGCACTCTTTTTCTACCCTTCATTAGGAAAGGAGTGCTCAGTTCACTAGGAGGGATTCAGGAGCAGTATATTTTGTACCCCACCGAGTGGGACCCTTTGGAGGGTCTAGCAGTTCTAGTGGTTAGAAATGACATTGTCTTGCCTATTTAGGATGACGTCATCCAAATGTGAATGAACAACCTAATTCAATAAGCATTCTGTTCTAAATAGAGCAACCCATAAGGAACTAGGAGAAATCACATAGCACTGATTGCTTGCTCTTAATGAGAATCCATTGACTTCAGAAGAGTGAAGTCTGATTTATGATGGATTTCCGGTCCAAGTAGAAGTTTTACAGCACTTAAGAACTATTTATTGAGTAAAGATATCAGCAGAGGTACTTGAGAATTAAATACACTAAACAGGGTGAACAAGTTTGGCTGAAGCCTACCGATTAGGAAATATGTTGGAAATGGTAGAAGTGATCAGCAACCCTGATCAGAACTGATGTATCTGCTATTTCTGTAGTGTGTTGCTTTTGTATCCCATACTTGGTCACTAGGGCTGTCTGGAAACTCAGTGGGGACATCTCCCTCACTGCTGGCATGGCCATGACAGGCTGAAAGCTCTCCTACTTAGGTCAATGGCCTGCAGGTTCATTTTATACACATATTTGACATCCCTCAGGGTCTCCACATCCTTCCAGGACCCTACCTCATTCTGCTAAAACAGGAACATCAATTATGAGTAGAATTCTGCTTTAAGGGTAAAGCAGGAAACATCTTCATTGTGTTGTTTCATCCACTTTATTAATGGACCAAAACTGCGTTTTCTTTCAAATGGAAGCCGGCCTCTTGTGATTGCTTCCATGTGCCAGGCAGGTCAGTGCGGGGGAATAGATTAAGTAGCAGAGTATGCTTATTCCGATGATTGCATAATATATATATAAGAGCTAACATCACACAAGGGGCATATTTATAAACCTCGCACTGGATTCACCATACATTCACCAGCAACATTCTGCACATTTACATTGCAGTGAATCTGAGTAAACGTTCCATCAGTCTTTAAAAATGGCGCAGAATGTAGAAGGTTCGGATTTTCTGTGCTTGGAAATGGTCTTGGATCTTTTTTTCTAAACATAGGAATCAGTCCAGTATGCATCTAATACTCTTTGGTCCATAAATGAATTTCAACACTTGCTCCCAACCACCCCGTGCCCCCCTTCCCCCACACTGAGCCACTATTACCTGGCTTCTCCCCACTTTTTCTATGTCCCGCAGCCTGCTCAGTCTGGGTACTGACGAGATGCCCCGCCCCCTGCAGAGCCCGCACTGTACTGAGAGCCGCGCATTCCCTGTGACAGCCGCTGTTTGAGTCAGTGAGAGGCAGCCCCGGAGCCTCCATGACGCTTCAATGATAGCCCAGCCTGCATGGCATCAGAGGGGCCTGGGGACCACCGGTTGGCGACCGCTGCTATAGAGGGATATGCAAACTTGTCACTCCAGCTGTGGTGGAACTACCAATCCCAACATGCCTCTAGGAGTCATGCTTGCGACTGTCAGGGTCTTGCAATGCCTCATTGGAATTGTAGTTTCACCGCAGCTGGAGTGTCGAGGTTGGCTCCCTATGCTCTATAGCAGGGTTGGGCAAACTCCGGCCCTCCAACTGTTGTGGAACTACAAATCCCATGAGGCATTGCAATATTCTCACAGGCATGACTCCCAGAGACAGTTGCATGATGGTATTTGTAGTTTCACCACATCTGAAGGGCCGGAGTTTGCCCACCCCTGCTCTATAGTCTATTGTAAATTAGTAGGGGTAAGTTAATGAATGTGGGTGAAGGTTGCTTGATCCGATGACTGTGAAGGGGAATCTCTGTGACATGTGGTCCTGAAATGTGCCAAATGATTCACCAGATAATGTGCAGATAATATCACATTTACCTCCTTATGGGTGTGGGGTCTCACTATTGATGTACGAGTTTACAATAAAAAGTCATAAATGCCTTTGATCAATGGAACATGCACATTAGTTTGCTTTTATTCAGAGTTGAGT